AATTAAAACTTATTCGATCTTTTTTGTTAAGTTATGATATATATATTCGAACTTCAAAAATACGTTTCATATTGTAATTTCCGCGTGCGATTTTCTTGGCGCTACGCAGTCCGCGTGTAGCCTAGCCACGCTGCAACGCAAATTATTGTTATATTTATTTCAAAACTATCAACAAAAATTACAGCATATTGCCTTTTTTTCAATAGTGTGCGCATTAGAAGCATGATGTTTGAAGGAGGAGCTAACTGTATGTAAATGATGCCTACTAAAGCGACTTTTGACAAAGCGTCAGCGCTTTGGCTAGCCAGCCGGCCAGCAAGGAAATTATGGTAAAACTATTTAATAAATTAATAATATTCGGCATAACTAGAAAAATATGTGTTCCCCTTTCTTCGGCAATGCGGACATAAGAATTATGGTGCTGGATAAGGGACCTAAATATTGTAATAGTCATACGATATACGATGCCTTCTGCCCGGATGTTTTTCGCAGTGCTGTGTTAGCCATACTTACTACAAAAATGAAGTATGTATTGACTGTTACTAAGCAGTGCGTACATAAGATGTACCTTTCACACTAGATCTAACTGTATCTAAATAATGTATACTGAAGAGCAATGCCGTATTCCCACCATATGTTTCGCGGTGCTTTGGCTGTCCAGCCTTGCTTCAACACATTTACAACTGTTATTAGTTAAAATATTGCCTTTTCCTTGGAAGTGCGGGTATTAGGTTAGGACGTAACTAATATTGTAATTGTAAATAATGCCCACTGAAGCGCAATGCCGAATTCCCGCGATATTCCACGGTGCTTTGGCTAGCCAGCCAAAGCACCAATATTTATTACATATTAAGCATCATAGAAAAATATAGAATATGTATTGTCTTTTCCTTGGCAGTGCGGATATCTATTCGATAACACTAACTCAATGATATTGTGATTGTGAACGACGGCAACTGAAGCGCAATGCCGAATTCCCGTGATATTTTTCGCGGTGCTTTGGTCAGCCAGCCGTGCTCCAACACAATTATGGTTGTAATTATAACGTAGTGTTCGTCGCCGGGGGCGGATTTTTGTTACCGGAGCGTGAATCAATCCGCTTAAATTTTAATACCGGCCAATTTATACTGAGATATTATAAGCTAAGCTGTTTTATAAGTATTTCAATATTTTTGCATCTGTTCAAAACTTTTTTATCAAAGCCGGATTAGGTTGATGTTGTTTATGCAAATATCGCAATATTCGGGAATCACTCTTTCGAGAACCATTTATTTTCAACCAATGACAAATGTGGGGTTGTTGTGGTAAACGAGTTTTTTATAGATCATAAAGCCTATTAAGCATTGGCATACTGGAAACCGGGAGTAATGAATAGTAAAATTTATAATAAAATATTGACACTTAAAAAATAATAGATTGGGTAATAATAAGTATGCTTTAAAACATACCTAATATAATTCTAATACCTTCACGAAAATAAAATAGGTTACTTTTGAGTGTCAAGTTATTTGGTCTAGATTTGCGAGAAAAATGTACAAGCTCTGTACTATCTCAGTTTCAACAGAAAAGTCACTTAAAGAGACGATGCCTGTTTAGATGCAACGTAATGTCTTTTGCATAAAATTTCACAACATTAGCATGGTATCCTCGTCTGTGGGACTTTGTATTAAAATGGCAATTTACTTTGGTTAATGTTGAGTGAGTATGATATTATTCAAGTGGACTTAGGAATCTTCTTGAGTATTGGAAATACAACACTTATTTAATAATGTTATGCCTGAAAACAGATATTCATTTCAAACTCTTTTAGAAATATGTTTTCTAATAACGTTCAAACCTAAGTGTCGCCGCACACGGGCCATACGCCACAGCCATAAACGCCCCCACGAGAAGCCAAAAGCGACTAGTAAAGTGGCTGACATGCGCGACAGCGGCCGACTAAGGCAAGGGAGAGAGTAGTGGGGAATCGCGCGAGTGACGTTTTGTATCGGCGCATTATGTGGCCGGTGCGGGCCACATGAAGCGAGCAACGACGGTTTGTAGCGTGTGGCGGCCAAAAAAAAACTACAAGAAATATGCCGGTGGCGGCGTTTTGTGGTTGTGGTCAGTGGCCCGTGTGCAGCGACACTAATACTTCGTTTTCGACTCGATATAAAAAAACCTGTAACAAAAAAAATCATTCGAAACAATTGGACATCAAAAATGCAAAGCTTTTCTTTCAAACGTCCAGAAAACAATTTTATGTATCCCTGGGACCATCTTAGAGCGTAATACTACTTCATAGGACATAAGAGCTCAATGCATGTTCCGTTTAGTGTATAGTCAGCACGACGCGGTGACAAGAATACGCATATGAATATGTAGCTGCAAGTGCTCGCCTATTATTTGCGATAACAAGGTTCATCAGCAAAATGTGCACCCTAGCCGAGAAACGCCGACGAAGCTTGACTCAATAGCGTCGACTGCACACTCAGACTGTGACTATTTCATACAACACTAAACTTTAACTTGGCACACGAGACCGGAGGGCATTTGTTTTAAAATTCAAAATGATTTTTTTTTATGACTACTATAATCATAACTTGAAAAGTACTAATATTCGGACGGGAAAAGTCTAAATAAATCCATTATTTTTTGGATATTAAATCCTATTTAGTGGTAAAAGTCAAAAAGTATTTATCACAGTCTCCAAAATAAGAGGCCACATGAATTTTCTGAATTAATTAAAGAAAATAAAGTAAAACGGGCGGGGAATTGCTTTCATTTTTGTGAGTTTTCAATTAACAAATTTGTCTTTTGTTTCTTCATAGGTATAATATAAAGCACTAGGTGTCGCTCGAAAGAAATTGCTTCGCATATCGCCTGTATATAAGCGAACTACACCCTCGTTGGTAATCGGTCACTTTCTTCACTCAGTGAACAATATACCATTTCTCCTGTTGTTTTTTTTAATTTCAATAAATAATTTCATCTAGTGCAAAATAAAGCTAAGATATAAATAGAAAGTTTTGCAGACATTCTGTATTTAAATTATTAATAGAAAACGGATTCTTATTTTATCACTGGATATTGCTTCAGAGTATAAATAATTACTAAGTTCAAATTGTGTCTAATTCGATTTCTCTACATAATAATCAAACGAACATTTAAGACATTATTTATTACAAGTGCACCTTAAGCGAAAATATAAATATCCTACCAAAAAAATTCTTTAAGAATTATTTAAATTATGATTTTTAATACGTAGTGAAGATAAATTGGATGCACAATTTTTATCACATTTTCTACGGAGTGGCCAGAAAAGTGCCGTCCAAAAGATTTTTTTTAGTTTGAATCACCCCTATGTATGTTCTACGATTTTTCATAGTTTTGCGAGTTACGTTTTGTTCTTTCATGATTTTATGCAAAATTGTGACCAGTTTCAAAAATTGAAAAACAAGTAATAGTGTATTTGAATTATATTTTTCTTGTTGTGTTGTTGTTGATTCAGATACCTCTCAACACGAGGCAGATAAAAAAATAACAACACTTTTCTGACCACCCTGTGCATTATATTTTATAAATTGTTTCATAATTTGTGGTCGAGACATAACCTACTTAAATCTGCAAACAAAATCACATATATACAAATATACGTAATAGAAAGTGATAATGTCAAAACCTGAGTAAAGTAAGACGTAAAGTGAAACGTGTAAGTTGAAGATCTCTCCAATTTTCACTACCAATAAACTACGCGGTACTGGCTTCCACATTATTACAAAAAAGTCCCACTTTGGAATAAGCAGTCGTCGCACTTGTTCCCTCACGTCTCGGGAATAAACGGGAAGAAAGAAAAGAGGCGCGGCCGTTCCCGTAACTGCATATGCAAGGGTGGGGGAGGGGCGGATCGCCACCGTACAAATCTCTCTACTCGAAAACGAAGTTACAGATCCGCTCAGAAATTGTGTTTTATATTTTTCCCCGGCATGTGACGCAGGAAAAAACTTCCAGATAGTTCCAGACCTTTTTGTGCCGAGAACAGGCGGCGGCACCGCGAAATCGGCGAGAGAAATGAAATTTCTTTTTAGAGACGCGTGGCGGGCGCATCGTATACTTGTACCATCTGCTAAGCTGTAACAGTGACGTGACTCAAATATCACCTTACATACTCGAGTTCTTAATTTAAACAAAAGTTACACTAGACACGGTTTCATAACTGTTTCAAAAAAAATAACAAACAAATTATGCTTAATTAACATCTATTAAGCAGCGTTGAGCTAGGCGGTGGGCTATGCATACGATTACTCCAGAGCGTAGTGCATAAAGCTCTTACGTAATTATGCAAATTTACACCAACATCTCTCATTTACTTAGCCATTTTGACAGTCGCCTTACAGCTGCATATGCATACAAATCGCGCTGATATTCGAAAGTAAAAGTTTTTTAGGTGCGTCTTCGAAGTATTTCCGATTTATCGCCTCAGGCGGAATATTTGTCAAAGACCCTGATGATTATGGCATAGCCGTAGGCGACGATGAAAACGAAAGTCTGTAACTTGATTATTATTAATATCTTACCATTGTGTGCGATCATTTGGGTGTATGTAACACTTGTCACGGTTATAATGTAGGTAGCAGCACAATACAGCACAACAATCTATGATGTGGCATTGAAATTGTTTGTTTCGTAAGCAACAAATGCTTTCCGTCACGAACTAAGATAGTTATATTGCCAATCAAGCATTATTTCATAATTGCAAAATATGTGTTTCACCTATAGTTACAAACGAATGGTATGGTTATAGAAAAACTTGATTACCTAACAAACTAGGTTTCACATTAATTAGATACATATTCTATTAAAAAAGATATATTATAATTATAGTTGCTAGGCAATGCACATTTGGTTTGGATATTTTTAACAAACTCATCAATTTTACCTTATTGACCATAAAAATAAGTGGCAGTTAAGTATTTAAAGCATGCCCATAATAATCATTATCTAAACATAAAATGGTGTCACTGACCGTAAGGTATTCCAAAATGACCATTCGAATAAAATTTGGCTGTGCACACATGGAAATAGTGTGGCCGTAACAGTAAACACGAGGTTTAGACATCAACGGCTCAGCGGTCTTTACCATCTCGTTTACGATGTATTTCTAAACACCGGCAGTCGTGGTCGTAAGATACTCGACCGGCAGTGAATGCAATCGGTGACTCTACTGGCATAGCTCACTCCGGGCGCACGCCTCTACACACACTGATGTTATCTTAAATAACAGGTGCTTAAAAAAAATCACACCCGTGTATTTAAAAAAGGAAAACTCGAGCGAACTTTTCTAATCCGAATAAATAAAATTTATCATCTTTCTTTTGTTTCAGATGTCTTCGAAAGTGAGTTTGTTTGTTTGAGTGATTCCACCGCCGAACAGGATACGCGCGACGAACCGTTGTGTTATGAAATGTGAATTCTGTGTACAAAGTGATAAAAGCCAAGTTGGATCGTGTGGAAATATTGTTTGAATCCCGATGAAGTTTCACGTGTAACGTTAGCGCTGCTGGCAATTGGTACAACGAAAATCTGTCGCCATGGAGACGGAAGAACTCACGAAGCTCGTCGATGGAATATACAAGGTAAAAAAAATATTTTATATCACTCACACTAAGATTTAATGATTTGATATCATTTTGCGTGTAATTATGCCTCGCAAGAGATCGTTAGAAGTATAAATTAAAATTACACTTAACTGACTTTGCTCCGCAATAAGGCAATTATAAAATTGGAGCTCACTTTTGACTAAATTTATACATATAAAAGAAATTCAACGTAAGGTTGTACTGAATTTTTAAAGTATAATATAAATTGTGATGTATGTAACCATTGTATGTAGGTAACCGTTTCAAAACTTAGTGCTTTAGTAAGTAAAGTTTTTAAGTACCCCTCAACTTAATAAACCTCTTACCAAACTTTGGTGCTCAAAAGCAATTAAAGAGATATAAATGTTGTTTTAAATTACTTAGTACCTTACGGTTATTTTTAAATGCACTTTTACAATGGTTCAATAAAAAAAAACAAGTTTTAACGGATTAGATGCCACTGATTTTATTTATATAATGGGTGATGTGCGTTAAAACGTAAGAAACAAATATAATGGTTCAACAGTTTATGAGGATAATAGATTTATAAAGAAAATGACAATTCAATAACGAGTACTTAAATATCGTATTAATTTTGTTTGCATGCATTTTGCTGCACTCGTGTTAATTCTCTTCAATGATCCTTGTGATATCCGAAAATTTTCGTTTCACTTTCGATAAGATAAAATTGTAGAAATTTTGAGAATATTAATTCAATTACCTCGGTAGGAACACGGCTTTTACCGATAGGCATTGTTTGCAGAAAGAATTATTTACCAAATATAAGTACGATACGACTTTCTGGAAAGATTAGGAATGGTTTTATTATTTGGATACTTCAACCAAACAGAGTAAAATTATGAATAATTTAAACAAAAACTGCTACACTTACAACATTGAAGTGTATTGAAGTGTTTTCTAAATATTTCAATGTCTCTTAGATTTGAGTAAGCTATTTCCCACAAAATTTTCTCAAGATTTCTTTATATTAACTAATTTCATGATAAGTTTTACGCCGATATGACGAATCCACGACTGTGTTATATATATATATATTAAAGGAATAAAGATGTCTAGTTTCTTAGTCACGGACAAATAAAAACACTATTTATTTAGAACGTGTTAAAAGCGCACATATTTTCAAGTTACTTGATAATTGACGAAAGTCAAACACACAGTTAGCTTTGCACTTTAATTTATCGAATAGTGTCAAAAATCTTATGTTATTTGCAAAATAACGGATAGTTTCGTAGTGTGAAGAGAATCTTTAATCATAGAGTAAAGAAAACCTCAACACCATAAATTCTCAATTTGCGGAAACCAAAAGAATGAGAATGTATTTTTTTATGCACCCACAAAAATGAGTAAATCAACCAACGGCTATAGTATTTCTATTTTAACTTGTTATCTATAGGAACTTAATATTATAAAGCTGTTTGTTTGGTTGAACGTGCTAACCTCAGGAACTATAGATCCGATTAAAAAAATGTTATTGTGTTGAATAGTGCATTTATATAGGAAAGCTATAGGTTATTTGTCAAAACGCTTCGACTAAATGGGGCGAAGCACCAATGTTTTTTTTTCCAAAAACGGGAAAAAATGTTCCGTTTAAGAGCTTCGTTGCGTGCGCTAAAACGTAAACGGCAAAAGCTACAGAAAAATCATGTACCTATGACGGAACTGTTCCTTTAAAAAGTTCGCGACAACATATGTCTAAGTATCTTTTAAGGGGGATCCACTATAACTTTTTTTCTTAGATTAATGCGGCTGGAACCGCAGAGCATCTCTAGTTTACATATTAACTTTAACGATGTCTCCCTCGGACTCTTGATACTCGATACACTTTGCCATTGACCTTCTGTCCTGTCCTTCATACGTTGTAATAAGAGCGATATTTAGTAACAGTTAATGTACTGAGTAAAAATTTATGGACAATCATTATTATCTACGTGAAATAATAATGTAGTTACAACTATTATCCTCGTAACACTTTTAAACTAATTTCAACAATTTACTTATGATGATTAAGATCACAAAAGTAGGTATCTTGTGTCATGGCCTTGACAGTATTTACTTCATCAATAAACGCACGACTTTTATATTGTTACTAACTAGGTGCTAATGAAAGTGTTGTTGTTATTGTCGTATTCCTGGCATATTTTGTAATAAATCATCAGATATCTTACAACGAGCACTCCGGCATGGATTGCTTAAAATTAACAAGAGGGGAAACAATAGCCCTTGTAAACTGATTCCCTTACAAATTCTATTATTCGAACTGCGATCGTAGAAATTAATCAACTTTCGTAATGTTGTACGAAAATTTACTTTCACCTACTCCTCCATGCTTCAAAAGGACTTTAAGTCGTTGGTCCCAACTGCATCCGCCATCTTCAGCACTCACCAATAGGCTATTTGACTGTATGAAAAATAAAGTACCAATTGTAACAACAACTTTGCGGCACATAATTTTAAAGTTTATTGCTTATTTGAAACCTCGAAGTATCGTAGAACGTTCGTCAAATTAAATTAGGTTTTCATGATTACCGTTCAAATATATGAAGTGACAATAGATAAGAAAATATAAATATCATATAACAAAAAAGCCATCGTGCAACGGCCATTTTAAAAAAGATGATTTTATCTATTTTATAGCGACTGGTGATTTTTACCGCCAGTTTTTTTTTATGTTGGAGCAACATAATATTTTTTTACTTCACAATATTGACACCGCGCCCGTTGTTTCGCAATCGAGATAATGTCGGCATACAAGTATTATACTCGTATTAAATTTTCTGGCGAGGTGAAAATTTTGAACGCAGGCCGGCGGTCTTCACGCACCTGCACCGTGAATGTCAAGGTCAAATGGTCAACCAGACGGGTCGAGTACACTACCGACCAACCGATAACGACATTCCAACTCGATTTCTCTAACACATTATAATCGAATGATAAATATAAAGGCATCTCGCATTCTTCACGCGGACCTTAAATTTCGTCGGAAAGTGCGATATGCCTGCCCATTTCCTTTTGTGTTTCTTTTTCGCGGAGGTAATTTTTTAGCGGTACCTCTTAATGGTTTACGAGTACAATTTACATTTATTATGTGACTGTATAGCTCTGGTGAATTATTCTGAGTTTTATCGAAATCTTTTTAGGTTTCACATTTTTTTGTTCTTGTTTTTATAGTCACGGACAAAAGACAAAGTTATTTAGTTGAGTAAACGCTTAAACCACTAATTTAATAACATACTCCTGAATGGATAATACACATATTTTATTTTATGTGGTAATTGACGATTCGATTTATCAACAGTTTTCAGGCAAGAGACAGATCTTGCCTTGTTTGTTTTTTGGATATTTTTATTGACCAATAACGATTCCGGAAATTAATGGACAGATTTTTATAAGTAGTTGCGTCATTCTCAACTCAATTTAAAAGTGAAAGTTATTAATAATGAAACATGATTTCTTAGAAATCGCATTAATTATTCATTATAATCTCGTAGCGTAGCATTATGGAAATTATTATTGTCTAGGATGTGGGCAAAATAAACAACAGCGTTAAATGACGATTATTTAACAATATAAAAAACCAGTTTCGAGAATCAAGTATATCAAAAAAGTACAAACAGTTAAATATAATACAATAAATCTACTACACCCCTAAACAAAAATATTGATTTATATCGTTTACAAAATATCCTAAAATCAACTATATTAAATACCCTAGATAAACCGCGTGCGCTCAAAATGTGTCCCAATCAAGAAGTGCTTGAACACCATTCAAGGACTTCTTGCTTTACAGTCACGCGCGGATGGTTGAAAAGTCAAGTTACTGCAGAGCTCCGTGAAAATATTCGAAAAAATTACTTATACTACCTAAAGTGTCGGTTTTTCGACAGCTATCTAATCAGTGTTCGTTCATGTTAAATTAATGCATATGAAGCAAATTTTGTTCTTATACTTATTATAAAGTGATTTAATAGAAAATATTTTAGATATTCAAATGAATGGTCGGTAATATAGCCGTCTCTTTGTCTTGCGGTCTGTACCTGCTATATTGCTAACAGATCATTCGGATTGCGCGTAGAGTCAAACAAATTGGGTCTTTATTCTTCCGCATATAGCAATAAGTCGGAAAATTTTACGAGTTTACATTTCGAACTGTCATAACTCTTTGACGCATGCCTTTTAATTAAGACCTTCAGTATGCATTAAAGGTGACTTTCAATGTTCAAATAATGACTTACATTGTTTTTGACTACGGGATCATCTTACGGAGCTCTGTGGTTCGTCCAATGTACCTTTTGGACAGATTTCGGACACGATTTTGTTCGTGTTGGTGTATCTAGGGTACAAATTTTAACCATTTTAGGCAACGATGTTATATTTAATAATATTTATTAATTTTATATTATTAAATATAATATCGTTACCTAAAATGGTACAAATTTGTAAATAAAGTACCTATTATGGAATTATTGTCCGGTTAAAGAACGAGATTCTTAAAGTAGATCTATTCGAATCAATTTATAACGATTAAAATTGTCAATGTTCCATAATAACACAAACTGCTAGTTAAGGAGCAGACATTTTTCGAAAAATTAATTCCTAATACGTTTTTTTGCTGAAATTTATTATAAACATAAACCGTTGTCTGAATTAGCTAATAAAGTTTCTCAGTTAACTCAAAATCCACCTCGAGTTGACGACCTCCAAATGTCAGTGCACCAGTAGTAATGCCTTTTTCTTAGGCATGGCTTCAATCCTGCTATTGATCACCATCATCCATTACCTACTTAAAAAATGAGTGAAAGCATTTTTGTGTGTAAAACGTAAAGCCTCCTGTGGCAATTTTCTAACAAAACATGTTACCAAATCAAGTTTTCTCCAATCGCCGTTAGCAAAACTGTTAGGGGAACAGGAGATCCGGCTTAAAGCTCATTTTAACTTATTGATACAATGAAGGAACTTTGGGGGGGGGGGGGGGGCGT